AAACCCAAAAGATGTGTTCCAGTGGCACACCTGAGGTACTCCAACCCCTACTGGGCATTCAGTCTGTGGGACCAGACTGTAGCTAGTGTGAAGGAAAGCACTGAAATACAGAAAGTCAAGATGTCTGAGAGGTGTCTTCAGCACTAGCTCTCTTGTCTTGCTCCGATGATCTGTTTCCATTTTACCATGTGCCTGATTGGATGCAGTTAGTCCTGAGTGGGTGCAGTACAGAGCCATGTATGTGTCAGTGCTGTGGGACTCGGTACTCTGAACTGGAGGAAGTCTTTTAAATTCAGCCCCAGCTGTGCATAAATCTGTACAGACAGGTTGGGTCTGTCTACTGTGATGTGCAAGCGAACAATCTTCCAATACCTGGTTTATGGGGCAGTCTCAGGTCAAAAGATGGAGATGACTATTTTGGAGGTCATATCATGTCTAACAGGAGAGTTCAGAGCTTCTCCTAGGCTTGAGCTGAATTTACTCCAAATCACATGTGTAAGGAAAGGAAAATTTTCACGGTTCTATGGACTTTCAGACTTTTTGTTCTACTTTTGTAATGGTAGAAAAGTTCTTGACCCCTGTTTATGGACTTTAAATCTTTTCATGACCACAGAGGGATGGAAATCGATAGTGGTAGAAACTTGGATCTAGTTCGCTGCGTGAGTTTTAATGGAATGTATGGATCACTTTTGATTGAGGCTTCTCCGGTACGTTCATGAATCTTCAGGGCTGAAGACTGTACTGTGTGCCTAGGTATCTTCTTCACTGTTCTTGTAGTTGGCAGATTTTTCCTCGTATCTAACTTAAATTACTTTGCTACAAATTGAGCTTTCTTCTTTCTCTATCATTGGGCAATAGAAACAACAACCCACCCCCCTTGTACGTCATGTTGCTGCTACCACTATTGTCGTTGTTTTCTGCTTGTCATTAATTGCTATGCGCTTGAGCAGTTTGTTCTTCAAGCCTTCATGATATTTTTAGGTGGAAATAGTGCGTGTTGATTCTCCATGTGTAAATTACTACTTGCTTTAAAGGGAAAAGGTTTTATCTTTACCTTTGTGTAGGTAGGACAGCGATCAGTACAAGTGCTTAACTGAGGAAAAATTGGTGTTTTAAATTTGGAATTACAAAGTTTCCTTAACACTTAATTAAAAAATTGCATTTTTTTTTCTTGTGAAGAGATAAAAGTTGTAAAAGTCTTGCTTTCTTCTGAAATTTGTTTCACTTTCTTCTGAAATTTGTTTTTTAAAGCAAGATATAGAGCAAATCAGTTTCATTATCGCCCTTTCGCAGATCCCAAGACTGTTACAAACAGGGAAGGAGATAGCTTAAGTTTAGGGTCATTAAGAACGCCAGTGGAGTGCACTGCTTTCCTAAGTTCCTCTACTAATGTGGTTCTACAAATTTAGAAGCCTCTTTTCTTGTTTTGGATTTTAAACATTCTTCTGTACATCTGTATGAAAATTATCTTTAGGTAAGAGGCAGGTGTGCTGAGGTCTGATATTCTACAAAATGCTATTGAGTATGCAGTTTAAACCAAGTGTATAATACATATTTTCCAAATGAGTACATTTAGTTGCAGATAGAATAAGAAACTGAAAGAAACTTGGGATGTTTTGGATGTAGTGGAGGCAGAAGGATAAAAGCCAGAATCAGTTTAAATTGCCTTTCCAAATATCTTTGTATATTGCTTAAAACTTTCTTGGTTTATGGTGCATACAGTTGCAGGAAAGGTGGTATTGGCAGCTCTGACTTTTCCGATGATACTGGAGTTCTTACCAATTCTTCTGCCACGCCATTTTTGCTGTCTGTTGGATATGGTGCATTGGCAAAGAAAGACTGAAGAAAACGATGGTACAGATGGTGAGGAAGTACATTTGCAAGACAAGATGCTAACAAAATTGGATGAGATATTAAAGAATGAGCCATGGAAACTTGGATTCAGCAGGGTAAGTAGTGTTAAGCAGAGTAAAAAATGTGGTGGTGGTTATGTTTGAGCTTCATTAGAATACAGTGCTGTTTCAATTACGTTCAGTTTATTAACTGGGCGTTTGTAGGAGGTAAGCTTAGTTCACTTGGAAATGGATGATGTACTGGACTCAGTTTTAGCAAAGGATTATTTTTTTTTCCAGTTGGTCTACAATAAATTAATCTCAGAAGATTTTAAAAGTGGTTTTGTTACAACCGTTTGTTTAGCCTTTTCTACAAGGAACAGAAAATTAAATACTTGAGTCAACTGGGCCAAAAGTAAAAAAGCTAGTTTAAAATCCTCAATTGTCCTGTTCAGTTCTATACTGACAAATGAGATTTTCTGTTCTTAATACATAGAACAGTATCTGTGCTTTCATGGTAAGGTAGGTAAGTTACTCTATAAGAGGCCATCTGGTCTAGTGGTTCTCCTTTTTTATCATGGGAGTTGCGGTAGCTGCTTACCTCCCTGTTCTCCTTTGCTACGCTTGCTGTGCAGCTTTGCTGCTCCACCTCACCTCAGCACTCCTGTACCTCAGATGGGAGCTATGGCTTACCAGTTTAGAAATGGGTTTAGTTAATCCCTCTGCTTCAGCTCCCCAGTGCTTTTACTGACAGATGTTCTGACTTGTCTCTAAGATCTCCAATTTCAGAGATTCAGCAGTCTAGCCAATATATTCCACTGTTTCACATTTTTTCCTTTAAAAAACTTTTGCTGATGTCCAGTTAGACTCTTCCTTGATGCAATATAGACTTGTTGCTCTCTTGTTTCTTGTACAAAGGCCCTGCATTCTCACTGCAGTTTTTTTATTGCTTGAGGACTCTCTTTAGCTTTTTCTCTTAAGGCTCAGCAAGTCCAATTTGTCTTTCTTTCCCTCAATAGTTCATCTATTTTGTACATCTCAGTCTTTCGCTATTTTGCAGTAGTCTCTGTAAAGATTGTGTATTTCTTGAAGTAGGATGTTCAGAATTGGGTATGCTGTTCTGGCTAATGCCTTTCCTGTGCTCTGTTTCTACAGTTTTTGTGCCTTTACTTGAAATTGTGTTAATTAGGTGTGCATGAGTTCTCCCTAATACCCAATTTCTGTGCCAGGTTTTTGATTTTTAAAGTTTCTGTTTTATACAGAAGGGTGACTGAGAGGCATTATCATTCCATCTTACTTTTACATATCTTGCTTTCATATGTCTTGGAAAGTATTATAACTTCGTACATTATGAAAAATACATAAATTTTTGTGGAATTCCACCCTCTGAATTGCAATTTGTGTTTACTAGGAGGAATGTTATTCAGCAAGAGGCTAACATCTTCTGAAATAAGTATGTATTTACTTTTATTCTTTTTGGGGAGAAGATTACCTATAGGGAACTGAACCTTTCTTACTGTGAGGCAACGTGGACCGCCTTCTGTCAGTGTGAACATCTCCTCCAGAAGATTCCTACCTTGCAGAAGAATGCATTAATTCTGTATGATCAACTCAAGAAGCAGTGTAGAGAAATGGGACACACTTACGAAGAACAAGATGAATTAGCTCGTTTTGTGACCAGAGATATGTCCATTGAGCATGTTTGGCAATCTCTTGAATTTTTGAAAGATCAGAAAGTCGTGATTAGGGAGAAAAAACTAGTGTTTCTGCCTTATCTTCACAAATCTGAAAAAGACATTGCAAAGTGTATAGGTGACCTTCTGTCAAACTGCTCATGGCAACTGGATGTTGATGTGAGAAAGATACTTAACGTTTCTGAGACATCAGGAGAAATGGTAGATAACAAAATGGATGTTACCCAGGCTCATGAAACGGAACATCTGAAGGAAAATAGTCTGGACAATCATAACTGTGAAAATCACTTTCCTGAAGAGGAAGTGATGTCTACATCTGCTACCCAAAGTAAAGCAGAGGTAGACTTAGATCAGGTGATTGCTGTGGAAAAGATTTGTTCTAATCCTGTCACAATTATAAGCGGAAAAGGAGGCTGTGGGAAGAGTACAATGGTTAGCTGCCTTTTTCGTCACTTAAAGCAGATGGAAAAAGAAGTAGAAGCTGCTTCTAAGGACTTTGAAGAAGACCTGGATGCGTCTGAGGAATGGAATACCTCTGATCATCATATAGAGTCAGAGAATATGAATGCAAAAAAAAGTTTGAATGTACTATTTACTGCACCTACAGGGAGGGCAGCAAGCCTTTTGAGTGAAAAAACTAAGCTTCCTGCGTATACGCTGCATCAGGTAATCAATTTTTTTGTTGTTGTTGAAACTGTGTTCTGAAAGACCTTTTGGCACTGTCCGTTCTTGTTTTGAAAAAAAAACTTGTTATTGAACTTTCCTTAAGAAATAGGTAGCTATTAATAATAATGCTCAGGTACAGCTTGTTAGCATTTGAAAGCCAGCATTATGTTTTGGGGAATCATAAATCAATCATTTGAAATACATTATTTCCTGTAACTTTGAGGATTTTTTTTCTACTTACACACGTCTCAAACTTATGCCTTTCTAGGGCATTGGGTCTTTTTAGCTTCTTAGCTGTGTTGTGGTTTTTTTTTTTTAATTAAGACAAATAATTTCTAGATGGCAGAGCTGTTTTTTTCTAGTGTCCTGTTGCCTAGCAATCATACTGATATCTGCACATACATGAAAAGATCGGTAGCCTGGGGTTGAACAATGAGATAAATTTCATTCACACAGTGTTTTCTTAATTACTGTTAAATACTGTGCAATTTTTTTCAGAAAAAAAGGAGAAAGCAAACTCTTTGTTAATAAACTTAGGTCAAGTCTCTGTTGTCCTCAGTAGTGGAAGGTGCCAAGAAGACATTGGAGGTGGGGAATAACCTGTATACATCAAAATTACAATAACATAAAAAGTACTGTGGGCTTATTTTATCTTTAGGGACTAGGTAGTTGCCTGTTCCTCTTCCCCATGCAATGTTGGGGATTTATTAATGTCAGCAAATTGTAGCAGGAGGTGTTCTGTTACTGAGCAACCTGCTGGCTGACCTTATATCTTTTAGGGTACCTGCAGGGGAAAAAAAAAAAAAAAGAAAAAAAAAAAAGATGCGTTTGTGTGCTATTACGTAAGTGTTAATAATATCAGCTAGAAATGTGTTCACCAAGGAGGAAAATAAGACTGGACGGTTGAGTCTTCTGAGTCTTCACAGGTTTAAGTTCAGAATTTCAGATAATAGCTCTAAATACAACATTAGAAGATACCACACTCTGGCTACTTTTATAAGACAGGTGTTTATAGTTGATTAGTGTCACAGCTTGATTTATTTCCATTTGTTTCTAGATCATCTATAGTTTTAAGTCATGGAGGCAGAGTGAACAAATACAGCCGTGGAAGTTTTCTACTGTGACAATTCTGGTTGTGGATGAAGGAAGTTTGGTGCCTGTACACATTCTTAGTTTAGTTTTAAAACTCTTGTGTGAGCATGCTCAGCTTGCCAAACTTATTATTCTAGGTAAGTGAAAGAACAAATTTAGCATTATACAATATTTAATAACACACAATATACAGTGTAAGCATCAGAACTGCCACTGGTCTCACTGAGTCTCTTAAAAACCCCAGAATGTTACATTGTTCTGTACTTGGATATTTCTGCTTGTTCGTAAGGATAGATGAGATAGTTTTCCATCTCGCTGTCAGTATGAAAGTATCTGTATCTCCGTTCTCTGTTTAGTAATGTTTTATCTGATTCTGAAAGTATTGTGACTTCCATGTGGTAGCTTGTTACATCTTGCAACTGGAAAACTTTTCTGACATCCTTAAATTTAAAGAAGCTAGTGTTGGCATATTAATCACATGTTAGAAGGGAGGTTTCATGTCATTCTTAATGCTAGGATCATCTTGTTTCAATTCAGAAAGGAAAACAAAGAAGTGTAAAATAAATATTTTCTGCTTTCTCAGAGGTTTGCTTTTTGGCATGCCATTTATGGCATTTGTTTTTAAATATGTAACTTTCAAAATGTGTTTGAATGAGATGTGATCACTGTCAGTGTTCATCATGGAGAGTGATTTGCACCTGCTAGTAAAGCATTACTGAGTGAGGAATATAATAAATTGAAACTACACTACAGCCAGATTCTTCAGAGAAAGTTTCTTAGGTTCTTGACAGTTTTATTTCATGTGAATTATATTGAGGAAGCATGTTACTATGTAGAGAGTTGAGTATTTATTAATTCAAGTGTTTTTTTTCAAGACAGTTTTTAACAGATGATCTGTTATTGCTTCTCACAAATATTAATTTGCATTCTGTTTAGGTGATACTAGACAGCTACCAAGCATAGACCCAGGAAACATGTTAGCTGATATCTTTGAGGGTCTAAAATCAAGAGGCTTTTCTGTGGAACTGCGAACTAATCACAGAGCTGAATCACAACTAATTGTAGATAATGCATCAAGGTAGGATTTCCTTAGGTATTTAAGAAGCGTTCTTGTAGTAGGCCTGGTGCTTTACCTGCAAAATGGTAGCGCATCCAGATTTGACTCTATAGCACTGCTTCTGTTACAGTTTCTTACGCAAAATCAGTAACACTGGTTTTAAAAACAAACAAAGCCCCCAAACAACAACAAAACCCCACAGATTTTTCCAGGAGTGTATGTATTGGACCAAAAAAGTGAATACTGGAATACTCTTGAATTTTATGGGGTGTATTTCACTATCACATACTGTCTGTTGTTTTCAAATGAGTTGTGCGTGCACAAATCACTTTATGCCTTCTGAAATGACTTAGAAATGCTTTTCTAAAGAGGAATTTTTAAAGACATTGCTGGTAAATGTGAGAGCAGCTAAAACAGGCTGAATTACATTGAGAGTTTAGATGTCAAGGGCTATTAAATCATAGTTTCTTTTTATTTTTTGCTGTATTAATACACAGAACTTCTAAATATTTCCAGCATTTGCATTACTTTCAGTTTGGAAATAATCCTGGTTACTGTCAGTGCATGACTTCTTTTTGTTAAACCTCAAACAACAAAATCTAGGTCCAAGTGCCCAAGACCTTATGATGTTGGTTGTAATTTGAGAATATTCTGAACATTTGAAAAATGTCCAGGACTAGTAAGTGTTTTACGAACACTCACTTTTTTTTTTTTTTTCGTAACACTTCTATGTTACGCCAGTCTGCTCCCATGAGAAGAACTGTATGGGTAATATTGTCTACTGCAGTACTGAAGGATTTAGAGAATAAATTACTGATTGTTTTTTTTTTTAAATGTGAAATTCAGTTATGCTCAGAAGAAAGAGTTTTCGATGTATGTAGTGTAGATGCCCAAAAATTTATAAATGGTGAACAGGGTGGGTTCCCTGGTGACAGAGGATACAGAGAAGGTGGAGTTACTGAATGCCACCTTTGCTTCAGTCTTCACTGCTAAGGCAGGCCCTCAGGAATCCCAGACCCTGGACGTAAGAGAGAAAGTCTGGAGAAAGGACAACTTCCCCTTCATCGAGGAGGATCGGGTTAGAGGTCATTTAGGCAAACTGGACACCCACAAATCCATGGGCCCTGATGGAATGCACCCATGAGTGCTGAGGGAGCTGGCAGATGTTATTGCTGAGCCGCTCTCCATCATCTTTGAAAGGTCATGGAGAACAGGAGAGGTGCCTGAGGACTGGAGGAAAGCCACTGTCACTCCAGTCTTCTAAAAGGGCAAAAAGGAGGACCCAGGAAACTACAGACCAGTCAGCCTCACCTCCATCCCTGGAAAAGTGATGGAACAGCTCATTCTGGGTGTCATCTCTAGGCAGCTGGAGGGAAAGAAGGTTATTGGGGGGAAGCAACATGGATTCACCAAGGGGAAGTCATGCTTGACCAACCTGATAGCCTTCTGTGGTGGCATGACTGGCTGAGTAGATGAGAGGAGAGCAGGGGATGTTGTCTACCTTGACTTCAGCAAGGCTTTTGACACCATCTCCC